CCTCTAGCCACCCACTTTGAGTAGAATTTAATTTTTTTTAGATGCCCAAATGGTATTTTTTATTTTTTTATTTTTTTTGGTTCCTAAAGAAAATTAAATTTCACTCAAAGTGGATGGCCACATGTATTCTAAGCCACTCTATGAAGTTTTGAAAATTTTTCTTTTTGGCTTATTTTTATTTTTTTTTCGACACCTAAAAAAAATTAAATTTCACTCAAAGTGGGTGGCCACGTGTATTCTAAGCAATTATGTGAATCTTTTTATTTTTTATTTTTTTTATTTTTTTCGGCGCCTAAAAAAATTTAAATTTCGCTTAAAGTGGATGGCCACAGGTATTCTAAGCCATTTTGTGAAGTTTTGAAATTTTTTATTTTTTTATTTTTTTCGGCAACTAAAAAAATAAAATTTCGCTCAAAGTGGGTGGCCACAGGTATTTTAAGCCATTCTGTAAAGTTTTGAAAATTTTACTTTTTTGCTTATTTTTATTTTTTTTGGCATATAAAAAAATTTAAATTTCACTCAAAGTGGGTGGCCACAGGTATTTTAAGCTATTCTGTGAAGTTTTGAAATTTTTTATTTTTTTTATTTTTTCGGCAACTAAAAAAATTTAAATTTCACTCAAAGTGCATGGCCACAAGTATTCTAAGCCATTCTGTGAAGTTTTGAAATTTTTGATTTTTTTCTTTTTTTTATTTTTTTCGGCACCTAAAAAAATAAAATTTCGCTCAAATTGGGTGACCACAGGTATTCTAAGATATTCTGTGAAGTTTTTAAATTTTAGAATTTTTTATTTTTTTTTTTTTGGTAACTAAAAAAATTAAATTTTGCTCAAAGTGGATGGCTTAAAAAATAAAAAAATAAAAAAATAAAAAATTTCAAAACTTCACAGAATAGCTTAAAATACCTGTGGCCACCCACTTTGAGTGAAATTTAAATTTTTTTATATGCCAAAAAAAATAAAAATAAGCAAAAAAGTAAAAATTTCAAAACTTTACTGAATGGCTTAAAATACCTCGTGCACACACTTTGAGCGAAATTTTATTTTTTTAGGTGCCGAAAAAAATAAAAAATAAAAGAAAAAAAGAAAAAATTTCAAAACTTCACAAAATGGCTTAGAATACCCGTGGCCATCCACTTTAAGCGAAATTTAAATTTTTTTAGGTGCCGAAAAGAATAAAAAAATAAAAAATAAAAAACTTCACATAATTGCTTAGAATACCTGTGGCCACCCACTTTGAGTGAAATTTAATTTTTTTTAGGTGTCGAAAAAAAAAATTAAGCGAAAAAGAAAAATTTTCAAAACTTCACAGAGTGGCTTAGAATACATGTGGCCATCCACTTTGAGTGAAATTTAATTTTCTTTAGGAACCAAAAAAAATAAAAAATAAAAATCAAAAATACCATTTGGGCATCTAAAAAAAATTAAATCTTACTCAAAGTGAGTGGCTAGAGGTATTGTAAGTCATTCTGTGAAGTTTTGAAATTTTTGATTTTTTATGTTTTTTTCCACCTAAAAAAATTTAAATTTCACTCAAAGTGGATGGCCACATGTATTCTAAGTCATTCTGTGAAGTTTTGAAATTTTTGATTTTTTGCTTTTTTTTCACCTCCAAAAATTAAAATTTCACTCAAAGTGGGTGGCCACAGGTATTCTAAGCCATTCTGTAAAGTTTTGAAATTTTTGAGTTTTGAAATTTTTTTGGGCACCTTAAAAGATCTAAATTTCATTCAAAGTGGGTGGCCACATGTATTCTAAACTATTATGTGAAGTTTTGAAATTTTTGATTTTTTGATTTTTTTTGGACACCTAAAAAAATTTAAATTTCACTAAAAGTGGGTGGCCACAGGTATTCTAAGCAATTCTGTGAAGTTTTGAAATTTTTGATTTCTTGATTTTTTTTGAAAAAATTCAACAAATTTCCTATTTTCCCGAAATCTAAAATTTTTTTTATTTTCTCGAAATTTTGATGATTTTTTCTGGAATTTTTCAATTTTTTGGGATTTTCTGAATTTTTTTAAAGATTTTTATGAATTTTTCGGATTTTTTGTTATTTTTATTCCATTTCTAAAAAAATGGATTTTTGTTCCTGGAAATAGAATTTTCTGTTGTTTATCAAACTGGTTTTTATTTCAGGAAATAGAAATTTTGTGCTGTTATCAAACGGGTTTCTGTTCTAGAAATAGAAATTTTTTGTCATTATCAAACGGGTTTTTTTTCTCAGAAACTCATCTAGGGACCAGAAATAGAAAAATCTATTTCTGGTTCAGGAACTTATTCCGAAACAGAATGGTTATCATTCGCTACCTTAACAAGCCACAACACTAAATCCACATAGAAGCAAGTATTTCATATCTGAGAACCCAGTACAACATGAGACCACTTCACAACACAATGCACTTAGTCAAACTGTAACGTTATATTCCCCAAAGCAATCTCCAACGTAACCAGATAAAAGTAAGAGTTTGCATTACAGCTCAAAGCAAATTAATCGAAGGAGCTAGATACCATCTTGTCATATACCCTGCCAGAATTTCAAAAGACGGTAGGATGCCTGTCTCATAAGTAGCTCCATACTATTTCTTGAAGTTGCCAGATACATGGTCAGATGTAAAAGTGCCCCACCACAACCATTCACAAGTAGATGTTGCACATAACCTGGACCATCTGAAGGTACATATGAAGGACACGTATAATGATGCAAATCCCAGCAATTCGAAGTTTACATCTCCCCTTCAAATAATCACATATCAAATGAGAGAAATTCTTTCCAGAAACATCATTCCAATACCAATCAAGAAGTCAGTTAGGTTCATGCGTAAGTATGATAACAGAGTCCTCTCCCCAACCTACATTTAATGTGGAATTAGATGTACATCTCATGTTATGATATAGGTGTTTTTGACTCGCTTTAGTCCTTAATAAGATGTTCCGGTTCGTCCTATCGTGATAAAGAGGTGTATTCAGAGGTACCGGTAACATGAAGGAAACACCATTATCTATTGTGGGAAGTATAAGTTGCTAGTAGTAGTAGATGATATGAAACAAATTCTGATAATAAATGAGTTTAAATTCAGTAGAAGATACAATTAGCGTTAACATGTTTCAACGCATGTCATTCCTCACATGCTCAGATTAGCTGCGACACAGATGAGAAATCATAAGACCCCTAGTTGATAATTCCCTATATTCCATTCTAGAAAATCAAATGTCCAAACTCCAAATCAAGCCACACATGTATTCTGGAAATAGAGCAAAATGCCTAGGTCAAACAGACTTTGTCGTTTGACACTAGGGGCATTGAGCCATTGATAGAGGTCTTCTCGCTTAGTCCTAAATCAGGTGCTGCAAGAAATTCAAAGCAGGACTCGACATAAGAAATGAGATCATTAACAGAGCATAATATCCATAAGCTCTCTCAAGGAATACTTTGTGCGTATTATAGCACTAAAGTTGTCATATTGAGGCTAGAATTATTCTATTTCCACATTTTATTTCCACGTCATATTCAGACTCTTATCTCTATGAACATCGCAAGGACATTTCTATATAATGTAAATTGCGTTTTGTTTGACAATTTGACTTATTAATATATATGCAACGTGAAGACTCAGTAATTGAATACACGACATTGGAGGCCATAGATGAGTTGGTGATGATGCTCACAACTATTTTTATATTTGAAAAATTCAATTGTTTTTCATACTATTTCAGCCACGCACAGGAGTTAGTTGAAGCAATATAGAACTCCATATACATTGCGTCCAACCATTCATTAATTATTTTCATTCATATAAAGGCAGGTCATACTTCAACTTCCAGACATAACATTCATCGATCCAGTTCTGATACTTGTCTATCTGTTTTCAGGGGTATAATAATGGTGGACTGTATTTATTGAAATCCTTCTCTTGTTTCTGCTTATCCAATGACAAGAGAGTTTTGTTTTTTTAATGACAAGAGAGTTGGTAGTTAGTTGTAAGCACGCCTTTGTGTACTTGAGTTGAGGATTCGGGTAGAGATTTTGCGAAAGTGACTTCTATGCTATGAATAGCAAAGGACTCAAAAGATATTAGACTTAGCTTTCATCATACATGGCTTAATAACTTTAAAATTAATTGACTTTTATTGCAAACGTGAGCATACAAAAGCGTGAGACACGTGAATAGGCATGCATGGAATTGTTATCGAAGTCTGAAAATGTATTATGTTTAAGTTTAGGTTAAAAGATGTTCAAAATGTTGATGTTCCCAATTACTTAAGTACTGTCTAGGAGCCCATTCGGTATAGCTGGGATTATACAGTAATTGTGTTGTATTTACCTAAGCTACGACGAGTCGTAGCACTTTTGTTTGATAATACATACTTTAAAGATACGGTATCTTGAAATTAGGTGAGACGGTTCCTTGAAATCTATATTGAGCTATTTGGTAAATGGCTTATAAAAGTTGCAACACCCTTCTTCACAGCTAAAACTACTGGAGAAAAATGTAGCAAAATACCCGCAAAATTTTTCACGTATTCTTGTTCTGTCCTCTTGCGTTGTTACCTAGTTACAATCAATATAAGTGTGGAAAGGAAAATTTTTCCATAGTAGTTGGCTTTTATAAAAATCCAAATGACTCTTAAATATCAATTAATAAATCCGTTTTTGTAAATATTCTAGATATTTTATTAAGTTTTTAGAAAGTGGCAATTTACATTAACTGTATCGACTTGTGTGGAAGGAAGTCATTTACAAATTTGAGTGTCCTTCTATAATGCGGTGTCCATCACAATGAAAAGATGAATTTTATAAAATTATTTTTCTATATAATGTATTTAGAACTTGTGCGCAAAAATATTATATAACATGTTTTTTTCTCTTTTTGAAGAAGAAAACGTTTATTCAAAGAATGGTTCGATTCTATCCTCATGCCAATAAATTCTAGGGTAGACCACTTGTTCCAAAACTGAAACCAAGAACCCACTCAAGGAGAGGCCAACTTTTAGGCTTGTGACCGGAAACCGACCCAGAAAGTGATCAGCATCTGTCTAGATCAGCTAGGCACTGACCCAAATTTCTCCACATGTAAGAATCTGTGCATGATCTCCAAGTATACCCAACAAACACAACAAAAATAAAAGCCACTCACCCCCCACCAAAGTATCTATAAATAGGAGATCAAGTTCAGAGCCAACACACACAATCTTCATTCTTGAAACCGAGTAGTATAATATCCTTAAAGAGGCCTGTGCGCTAAACACACTTGTGTTTGTAGAGAAAGGAAATGGATCTGGACGGGAAGCTGGAGGAAGAGTTCGAGATCAACTCGCCAGCGGACAAGTTCTACAAACGTTTGAGCTCCGAACTCCACCGTCTTCCTGATGCCTCACCGGAAAAAGTCCAAGGAGCTGAAATTCATGAGGGCGGGCGACTGGGTCTCTCCCGGTTCCGTGAAACTCTGGAACTACACCATCGGTACGTATGAACCCAGTAATGTCGATTGATCTGAGAAGGTCTGTCCAAATTGTGCCCCGTGATAGGCACTTCGGGCTCGTAAATATTTAGCTGTAGATATGTTCATTTTGTCGTCAATCAACGCACAATATCATAAAAAGCTCTCTGACTATTGAAGTGTTTGTGTTTTATAATGAATGAAACACATTTAAGTGGGACCAATTTGCAGACGGGGTGCAGGAGATATTCAAGGAGAAGATGGAAATAGATGAGGATAAGAAGTCGATGACGATGGTGGCTGTGGGCGGACACATCCTTGAACAGTACAAGGTCTACAAGGCCGTCTATCAGGTTTTCCCCAAGGGCGAGTCAGGGTCGGTGAAGATTTCATTTATCTACAAGAAGTTCAAGGAGACTGATGGCGAGCCGCACAATTATCTCCTGCTTGTCGTCGATGTCATCAAAGATCTTGACAAACACTTGACCCCGAAACAAGGTTAAGGTTGATAAAAAGAGCTGAAAGAAAATGTCCTGAATCCCGTGTGTAGTACCGAGTGGTGAAATAAAGAGAAGCTACTGCGCTTCTGACTTCCGAGATGTGTGGATCAGTGATTCAGTGTGTGCTGCTGTGGGTTTACTAAATTATTATTATGCAGAATAAAATCTTGCAAGAATCACCAGCTTTTCATGTTGTTAAAACATTAACCGGTATCTTGTAATTAAATTCCTTGAAGAGTTCCAGAGCTACAAATTGCAAGGAGGGAGCTAACAGTCAATCATGGAAACTTCTAATCAATTTCCTTCAGATTCTCACATTCAATTTCCAGTTGCAAAAGTTAAGAGTGCTGGATATTTTTACTTGGAAGTCTAATTCCCCAGTGTATTTCTGAGCTTCAATTCAAAGAAGAAAAGAACATTTGAAAGCCCACCAATCAACAATTTATGCAAGTATGATTCCCTCTAAGCTCTATTCTACCTCTACTTTTGTTGTCCCCCTCAATTTTTTCATTCTTTCTACTTAAATGTCTCTCTTTAGCCTTCTAGCCATCAAAGCAGCATTCAAATGTAATTCTCTCTTATTCCAAATTTATCAGCTAAATATAAGAGGATCAAATAGCTTTCTCTGGCTTTCTCTGCAGGAAAATAAATCAACCTAATTACTTCAAAGCAGGACCAGCAAAAGAAGCTACTCGTCACTTGAGCAGAATCCAATGGTACATTGATATCATTCCTTGATCAAATATTACATCGTAGCGCCATCCCATCTAAAGAACAATTACAGAATAATGGTTTGATATTTTCTTTACAGATTGCATTAGTGTGCTAACAGCAGAGGCGAACCTTCAACTAGTCCATCTCTACCAAAGGAATCACAACTGTGAACATTCTTATGTACAATTTTACCAGAATCTACTTCTAATAAAGAACTAAAAGAGTACCTAATAAGTTGTAGTCACCTTTGCTGTTGCAAGTGTCGCCTAAATGGGTGACTCAAAATCTCATCAAGTGTCAGATGCAAAGCGGCAAATATCCATCACTGATTTTGATTCGATCAAAGAGTCATGAAATCAATTCAAGATTCACTCTCTTGACCATGTTCTTGTCTCAAGCTAGGGCAGCCTCGATTATGTTCTCTCTCATGCCAGGACAACCGAAAATGTGGAGAGCACATGCCAGAGTTGAAGCACCTCATATCATACTGGCAAAATCTACATGGTATGAGACATATAGATTTCACACAGCTCCTGTGTAAGACCAAATCCCTTGCCTTTGCCTCGTGAATGAGAGGTATTGGAATTTTATACCCAACTGAGTGATGATCATCAGCTATTCACTGACCCATTACAGGCTTCTGAATGAGTTTTCACCGTCCGATTTATGACAAAATGGTCAACAATTCTTACTGTTTTTACCGGGTCTTGTAAGGGAGCTGCAGAACTCCACTTACTAGGAAACATCCTAAGGTGGCTTAACTGCTGTGGCTGTTTTGTTTCTCCATCCCAATCAGGATCCAGCTTCCATTCCTTTGGAACCTGCATTACAAGGTGAGTCATTATTGTTGGTAACAGTTACACCATTGAACAGGAAAGCGTCATAAAATCTGGAAAGAAATGATGCAATTAATATTTGGGCAAAAGAAAGATACTTTGAATTGGCTAAAAAACTGTGTTCAGATAGTCTTTTGAACTATGGAGCATATGGAGTTTCAATGACCATACTGGATCCATATATCTGGTATCATTCTACTATTTATCTTATTATATTTTCTTTACCAGTCAAAAATCCGCAATCAACTCTGCATTTCTGTAGTCTTTTATCCTTCTTAATGCAAGTTTGTTTTACAACAACCTGCCATCCCGATGATTTCAACAGCCCTAGTAGCAATAAGTAACGGGGAAATAATCAATTGTAGAACACAAATGTTTCCGACAGATAATGCTCAAGAGGTATATTATTACCAACACATGCTGCCAGTCTGAGAATTTACCGCAGAATCCCAAATTACATCCCGCTTTTTCAAGGCATACAGGGTATCATATCTGCTCTTAAATTTTTTTTAGCATTCACTAGGGAGCAACATATATTTAACAGACAACCTTACCAAAAAAAAACATATATTTAACAGACCTTATCACTGAATCTGACCAAACAAGTAATGCATATCTCACAACACCTGGGTGTTGACCAGTTCCCGAGATAATGTGCTTTAGTCAAAACTCTTCCAGATATATTTAACAAGCCACAACGCTGACTCCACATAGAAGCAAATATTTCATATCTAAGAACCCAGTACGACATGAGACCACTTCACAACACAATGCACTAAGTCAAACTCTTAGAACCTTTTCTTTATTGCTGATTTTTCCCTTCATGAAGCACCTTGTCCTTAATATACTATAAGTAATTTAAATTGATAACAGAGAAGATACTGGTAGGGAAGCCATTAATACAGAAAATCGTCAAAGTTTTCTGCCAGTGTCTATTTCTAGACAATATAACGATAGTGCAATATATAAACAAATAAACAAACAATAGTGATAATGCAAGACATCCTGCAAATACTGCTGCTTCAATTTCCAAATATATTCTGATGAAGAATAGGCTTTCTATAGAAATGTTCGTAAAACAATCATATTGCTTAAAATATCCAAGACAGAGGAAGGGAGTACACTGTCTATGTAACTAAAGTAGCAGATAGTTCTGACCAGTTACCTTATCGACTACTAGGGTATAGACTTCAAGATCACCTTCCCTGTTTATGTGGAATCGTGTAAATCCCTTGTAATTAGCAATTCGAAGTGAGGAGAAGGCCTCATCGAAGTGTAAATGAAGCCAGTTAATGCAAATGTATAAGTAGCTTCCAAAAACTAGAGAGACAACAGGAGTGGAAAAGACCCAGAAATAGAGAAACACAGAAGCATAATATATCGTTGCACCGCCACGTGACAATGATTCCATTCCCCCCTGGCAAATGTTTGTCCTTGATACAGCCATGACCTGGCAATTCAATCCAAAAAAAGTCACATTGTAGAAAAATATATCATATAAGATACCCATATTCAAAAAACAGCACTATGAAAAATATAAAGGATACAAACCTCCGGGACATCGAAGGCGGACATGAGATATTTGATGCAAGCAGGATATAGACCCAATGTCCATTGTTCAATACGAGCTCGAAGGCCTGTTGGATCTGGAAAGTGCTCACTCTCTACAGTTCGGTACCACTGGTACAATGTGTGATAACCTAAGAGACAAATCTAGGTCAGCATCTCAGATACTTATGCAAATGCTTACTTAGCCGACACAAGGACATGACACAAGCTCAAGAAAAATGCAGTGTCTTATTTTAAGAGTAGCTGTAGATGTGCTACAAGACGAAAATTAATGAAGTTATATTCATCAATCGAACATCATTTTTCCACTGGAGACGCGCTCACTTCTTCATTATGTCAAAGCAGAGGATCAAATCAAGCATCCACTGATTAATGCAAAATCAACATCTTGAGTCAAAAAAATACACATACATCAGAAAGTATGAACACTAACCTGAAGTCGCCAAAAGTTTATGCCTGATGCAGGTCTCTACACCCAGTTCCATCAGTAGCATAAGAATTAGTGCAGCAGTTAAGTGTGCAGAAACATGAAGTACACCAATCATCACTCGTTTCTTCCGCGACACTTTTGATGGTACAAATGTGACAGATACAATTAGCAATAGCAAAGCACCTGCTAGTGATACATAAGACTGCTCCAGCAAGTACTTGAAAGCAGCCCATACAGTGACAAAAAAGCTCTTCAAATGACCAGAAACGGAGTCACCTTGTAACATGTGATTGAGCTTACACTGCAAAGGAAGCCCAAGAATAAGCCAACTACTCAAACATATCAACATAATAATAAAGCAGCAGGATAAGTAGGATCCATGCTATTTGTTTGAGCTATCTTCGGAACTTGAATTATCTCCTGGGAACTTTGACTGCTTAAAAGGGATTCACAATGAAGAGTTAAGTAAAATGAAAACACCCTGCTTCTAACGGATTGGATTAATAAATATGCCCAAGTGCTAAGTGACATGATACCAGTCTACCAAGAATCTGAATGTAAAAATCACATTCAGCTAAAGGAATACTCACTTGTGGGAACATAGAAAAAGCCAGTACAAAGTAGATAATACCACCAATAATATCAAATTGCCAGTTTTTCTTCCTAAATTTCAAGATATTCCCCAAAGCAATCTGCAAAGTAACCAGATAAAAGTAAGATTTTGCACTACAGTTCAAAACTAATTGATCAAAGAAGCTAGATGCCGTCTTGTCATATACCCTGCTAGAATCTTCAAAAGACGGATAAGAAGCGTTGGTCTCATAAGTAGTTCCACAATATTCCTTGAAGTTCCCAAATACATGGGTTGGATGTAAAAATGCCCCACCACAACCATTCACAAGTAGATGTTGCACATAAACTGGCCCATCTGAAGGTACATATGAGTGACGCATATAATGATGCAAGTCCCCAGCAATTCGAAGTTTACATCTTCCCTTCAAATAATCACATATCAAATGAGTGAAATTCTTTCCAGAAACATCATTCCAGTACCAATCGAGAAGCCAGTTAGGTTCATGTGTCAGTATGATAACTGAATCCTCATCCCCAACCTGCATTAAATGTGGAATTAGATATTCACTGTAACAAGAGACAGCTGTAGATATCATGTTATGATGTAGAGGTTTTTCACTAGCTTTAGTCCCTAAAAAAATTCCACTTTGTATTATAGTGATTAAGAGGTGTATCTAGAGGTACCAGAAACATAAAAAAAAAACACCATAATCTATTGTGGAAAATGTAAGTTGCTAGCAGTAGTAGAGGATATGAAACAAATTCCGATAATTAATGATTTTAGATTCAGTTGAGGATACAGTTTCAAAGCACATCATTCTCCATATGCACAGACTAACAGTGACATAGATAAGAAATCATAAGATCCCTAGCTAATAATTCCTATTTATACAAGAACAAATGTCCAAACTCCAAATTAAGCCACACATATGGAAGCAATAGAGCAAAATGCTGGGTTCAAACAGACTTTATCCCAGGACACTGAGGACATTGATAGAGGACTTCTCACTCGGTCCTAAATCATGTCTGAAAAACATTTAAAGCAGGACTCAACATTAGAACTGAGACCATTAGCAAACGATAATATTGATAAGCTCTCTCAGGGAATATTTTGAACGTATTATAGCACTAAAGTTGTCATTCAGAGGCTAGAATTATTGGCCCCAACAGGAGTACATCACAAGCTAATAACTTAACAAAGGGCAGATAGATGTGCAGTTCTGCAAAGGCTTCTAATAAGATAGAAACAAAGACCATGATCCTCTCTCAGCAAATTACTAGCAGAAAAATATATGTCCAACAGTAAACAACTTAACAACATATCACACTGCACATCAATAGCAAATAATCTGCTGGAAAATATCTAAAATGACAACTCAAAAAGCAGAAAGATGCTATACAACCCTGAGGAATATCCTCAAGAGTGATACAAACTATCGGCTACGTGTCCAATGCAGGATCCCTCAACTCAAGCAGTTCCCTCATCCGGTTGTTTTTCTAGCAAAGATAGTCAAAAAATTGCTAAGAAAATTAAGGAAGTACCTTCGTCTTTACCAGCTCTGAGAAGAATTTAAATTGGTACACATCAATATCGCCATGGAGTGCCAGATCAAGGCCAAATACCCACCAATTTTTGGGGAGTTGCAAAGCAAAATAACTCTTTTTCTGAGGCATCAACCACCCACCTAACCAACTCTTATGACATATGTACCTCATGAAAGTATGAAGTCCATCAAACCAATCTGTAAAAACCACAGAAACAGGATTTTATAAGGTAACCATTACATCTTCAAAGTACCAGATTTGAGAAACTTTCTAATAAGAAAACAACTAAGGACATGGGAGAGCACAATGCAATGATATTAGTTTCAAGTTTCAAAACGATACAAGGTGTTCTCCAAGAGCCAAACAGAAAACTTAAGCAAGGGTCACAATGAAAACCAAATCTGACCATGATTTCCAGGAATTAGGAAAGCCTGGGGCCCATCATATTGCTTTAGCTCAGATAACCCTGATGGAATTTCAGGCTTGTTCACAGCGATCTGCTCTAGTTTGTACCAAGGTGGAGGCTGAAGAGCACACTCAAAAGGACGAAAGAACCTCTTTTCGTAAGTAAATGCAGACGGATTTGGATATCTACAAAAGAAGCATAATATTTTGTTTAGGCGAGAATGAACATTTCTAGAAAACGATGCACTTATACAATCAAATGATGCCTAATTCTTTGTTCGCAATGTTTATTTTAAATTCAAAACCAGCTGACACTTCCTTTCATACTCAGCAACAGATGTGATCAAATAAAAAATGTAATATTCAACACAACCGAAATAAAAGAAAACAAGTAAAAGTAGACTAGCCTGAACTTACAATATTGACAGATGATATAAAGACATAATTAGCTTTCCAGCCTATAAAGCGAAGACCCATCCATTAAAAGTATTGACAAAAATCCTCAAGACCATTGTGATTGACAATGCACTTTGACTCGTAAAATTATGACCCAAATCAAGATAATCATCCCAACTAGCATACAGAATTGTTCATTGAGTGAAATTGAGTGAAACAGCGAGTTGACTCATTAAAATCATGAAACTCGCGATCTGACTTATATTTACTCATCTTTTACCTAAAAGACTTGTATGACTCAGTGAGATTGTTTATTTCTGCCCCAGAGATTTTAGTTAGAGTATTTGGCTTGTTTGAAGCCAAAACAGGCGTTGGTGAAAAGGTGAGTTTCGCTAATGCCTGATGGAAGTGTGCTTTCTAAAAAAAAAAAATTTGAAGAGAGATCCACTGCTGGTTCATTGCAAATGATAATTTTCAGGGGGAACAAAAGATCAAAGAAGTCTCTTCATCTCTCTCTGTCTTGGTGTCTTTGCTCAACAACTTCATACATGACTACACCAACCATCCGCTACATTAATATGCTTCGATGGTGAAAAGTGACACTCGAGCAGAAATAGGCATCAATAATTGTTACTCTTAAATGAACTAATCTCATTGGTCCAGTGTCATTTTACTGTTACTTTACTGAAAATCTGATAACTTCAAGTTAAATAAATCTATATAGTTTAGTCTGCAGATTAGTCTAGACTTCATTTTGAATGGACTTTAACTTTGCAGGTAATGTGAAGTAAATCAATTTCATTAACTGTTGCACATATTTATTCATCGATATAAAACTGAAAACCATGCTTATAAATTAAGCGGCTTTTAAATATAATTGATTTCAGAATATTTGTATTATTGGGAGCATGGAACCATTTAACAGCTCCTATCATTAATTTAATAGTTTGGAGTATAAGACTCAAACTTCTACCTAGTTGTTTAAGTATGTAAAATGTTACGATTTAATCTTAAAGTCCCATTTTAAGACGATGTCAGTAACCAAAGTGAGTTTGACTACCTTGCTCAAGATGCAATTATTCTCCAAATATAAAGCATATGTGCTGGCTGCTTCATGGGGCTGAAAAATAAGATGTATCCAGAGTGGCTTTATTTTTACCTTTTTGCTTTTCTTCAAATGTTGCGGTGCACGGTCTTTGACTTGTTTTTTTTTTTTAATCTTAACCACTTGAAACTTTCACAATATAGTAAATGCTAACACGTAGATTAACATATATAATTTTCATAATGTTTTAAAATTTGGATACTATTTTAAATATTGGCAGGACAGTAAAAATTGCTTCAGCTTTTCATAAGTCAAAATAAACCAACCCTGAGGTAATCAAGTCACATACCCAAAATGGCCAATGAGAGCTTCAAAGTTCAAACTCAATGAACACAACATATATTTAAAAGCCTAATGGTACAATGAAGGCAAGTTAAGCAAATTAAAATGCTCCACCTACAAAAGTAGACGCAGAAGAAGCAGTCTAAATAGAATAACATATAAAACAGACAAGAAAAGGCTCAAATGCAACATTTAATCAACCAAAAAAGTTTGGTTCTGTTTCATATAATTAAGACTGAAGAAACATGGGCCCAGATCATTGCTAGCCAAAAGAGAAAATTCTGATAAACAATTCAGAGAGTAGAAGCAAGGCAAAGTTCAGCGCAGGGTCAAACTTACAAAACAAACAAACCAATTCAAATTTGATATTCAATAGACAAGAACTACTTACCATGAGCATCAAACCCACTAAATAGATTTGATTTAAAGTGGTTTATAAAACAAATTCATTTTCTATGACTAACAGTCTAATACTATTTAAGAACCACCAATCATTAAAATGTGATACTCTAAATGCTCTGGTTTATGCAAAAGATGGAATATAATGAGAGCAAGAAAATTACTTAAAACTGATACAAATTGTCATGTTGTGGAATAGATAAACATGTGATTGACTTACGCAAGATCACCCCCAATGAGAAGCAAGTTCCCTCGTGGTAAGCAAAGCGTAGAATCACTGGTCGTCACATTAAGTGAAGGCTGAGCCAATAGCCGTGCAATGCTGTAAGAAGAGTTCCCACCATCACCAGTATCAGCCATGAAATCAAACCAAAAATTATCTTTTTCACTGAAGTGATCGTAGAGAAAATCCTGCTCAACTCCATCTTCGACCTTGTTCATTGCTGCCTGATGAATTAGAAAGATGAAACAATGCAGCCACTGCGTTAACTATATACACATGGTTTTGTACTTAAACAGGATCAAAAGGCTTAATTTAATTAGAGAATCTATACTATTAACAATGATTTCATTAGTGCTATAGTGACAACAAATTGATCCGATGAAAAGATGGAGAATTTGCAAAAAAAAATAAAAGATTGGAAAGAAACATTAATAATCAAAGTTTGCATATAGCAACTTTAGATCGATTGACAGCACAAAATACTCATTCAAACTTCAAACAATCTAAAAACTTTTTCTTCCTTTTTTGTGCCTTTTTTATCTCAAAGGGAGTTTAGAAACAAGTGCCTAAGTTGGACAACAAAATAAGTACATGATACAACAACCTAAGCATAATTTAATGCTGTGTTACTGATGCATAAGTTTCATAATGTTCCTTTTGTTAGGATCCAACAAGGAAAGAATGTGAAGGTAATTCCCTGAAATTAATTCTCTTCTTAGAGACATTGATAGACAGATAAAGAGAGAAGTAACACCGCAATTAAGAGGGAGATTTACAAGACAGACAGGGAACACCATAAATTAAGCACATAAAGTTGAGACAATGGAACTTTACCTGCATCATGCGCATGTCAAAACGGCCAACAAAGACTGTTACTGACACTAGGAGGTCAAACATTGTCTTAAAAAGATCAGCTGAAGTTCTGTAGGACACAATAACAACTGTATAAGGAAAAAATACTGCAAGATCCCCCAAAAAACGGGCAAGAAAAGGAAAAAGAAGAGGGAAACCATATACCCAGAATACCAGGGAACCATGTCCAAAAAGTTTGGTTTCATTTGCTTTTCCTTCGACTTTTCATATTCTTCAACTGATAAAGGGTGAGAGAGAGCCCACCTGCTTGTTATAACATTCGAACAAATTGAGTTGAAATCACCACAGAATGGTGAAGAAGATTATGATGACAGGCAAAAGTTGAGCTAAAAAGATACAAGGGCATCTATTAGCACAAGACCACTCTACTTTTCTACTGCCAAATTCTCAACTGCATTATCATAAAGAACTCTATGACATGATAGAATCATCCATCACATTCAGGCTATCGACTTCCTCAGATATGGCTATTCACTGGCTAATCAAAACACCTAAAGTGTAAACTATTGCACTAGAACAAGAATATGAACAATTTATCCATCACAAAACTACGTCCAAGGCCAGGGGGCAAAGTTATATTAATTATTCAAAAAACTAACAAATTGTCACTCACCCTGTTGACCTTTCCACAACATAATTGGCAATATAAAGGCCTATAAAGGTTGCCCATAACGAGTATAAAGGAGAAATTTCATCAGAAGAGCCCGAGCCCTGCAACAACCAAAAAAGAGATATTAATAACAATTAAGTAGGTGAATGACAAATTATCGATGTCAAAAGTCATAACAATGAAGCCGGTACATGACATATGATCAATGTAAAAAGTTTTCATTTTGTACCTCCCCGTATATGACCCACTTCGATAAGAGTGGATAATCATTCGCAGACCCAACCGGTGCAAACCAAGATGAGCAAATCTGGTCCTTAAACTCGTGAATCCGAAGGAATTTCGAGATCAATGTGTTCCTTTCTTCTTTCTTCCAAAGAGGAAACCAACCAGAACTTTTTCGCTCAAACGGCCTTTGCTTCAAAATAGCACGGTTGCCGCAGTGACTATAAAATACACAGCAGGCAATGCTTAGAACCTATACATCACATGAAATGCATTATATTAAAAACAACAAGAAAAGGCAAATGCTATATAATCTTATAAGAAATGGATCCTCAGAACTAACCGCACAATTCTGTAGAATGGTCCAGAGCTCCGGCCTTCTTCCAGCCACACGAGATACAAGTCCAATATACCAAAGACCGAGGAATATGATATGGAAGACAATAAGGAATAAAATAGAGGAGACATAAATTGTCAAAAATAAAGACAAATTCATCCTCAAATCCACTCCCATTGACTGAAAACTGGGAAGATGATACAGAGCCGCCACAAAAATCCACAAAATGTACCTGTGAAAGCAAGCATTATTCCAACGAGTCGAGACGGTTAAAACAACTGCCAATGCACTCAAAGGAATACAAAGCGAGCCCCATTTCATAGCAAAAAAACAATCATTTAGGCTTAGGACGGAATAGAGTGCTCACCATCTGCTAAAATTCGAATAACTGGGCTTGATCGTCTTCCCAACGAACGGAGTCGAAAAGAAATAGAAGAAACCAACCAAGCAAGCATACATAGACCACCACTTGACGTTGTTATCCAACTTCTCAATCAGAGTGTGCATATTGTCCGAAGATATGAAGAATAGGCAACCGACGACTACAGCAATTATAGCGTGCCTCGAATGCTCGTGAGGATAGGGATACGTGTGCGTCAGAATAGTCCTCATTCGCTCCATTTTCAGCGTGTCCAGGAGACCCATGGACTGCCTCTCAGAGCCCATACTCGCGATCCTCAGTGCGCCACTTCCCCACTTCGCCGATTTCAGCTCCTTCCCACAAAGCAACCCGAGAACACCAGAAGCAAATCCCTATCTGAAGAACAACAGCCAATCAATCAGCAAGCGCGGAACACAAAACCCACTTCACGTCACGCGCTCATTCCATCTAAGCGAGCAACAATCGACAAGAGCGAGCAACAGAGGGGCTTACTTCAATCGCAAGCTTCCTCGGCCGCGGAGCAGAGCACTAGGGCTTTTGCCGCAAAACCCGTCGGGGCCGCCGCAAACCGCCGCAACCGGAAGCTCCACCCCCCACAGCGCCGCCGGAACTCTCGAGACGGGGGGGTGGCACGGGGACGAGATTGGGCAACGGGGGATTGGCCAATCGGAACGGCGACGGCGAGCGAAGCCGGCTTCGAGAATCTTGACGACGACGAAGGAATGGAGGGACGGATGAATGCGCAAAGCGAGCGAGCCAGAGAGAGAGAAGGGAAAGCGTGCGTGTGCGAGGAACTGCAGAAAAGGGGGGGAATGGTCTGTCGGTGGGAATTACGTGTGGGTGCGTCTGAGCAGTAATGTCAAACCGACTCGGAGGAATCTGGGAATGTCCGCAACGCACATCTCCTTGGCATATTCTCTTTCGCACGCACCTCCTCTGCAAAAAACCCCCATCATGTTCCTTTCATCGAACACATGTTTTTTTTATGCCTCCTCCTTGTGAAATGTGTCTCGATTGATTTCGAGATGATGACCAATGACTGGTCCATCCGGCCCGGAATAGGCCCGAGCTCGAGTTGACACGTGACAAATCGAGAGTTCGTGCTGTCTTTAGGGAAGAACCCGGCAAACCGTCGCTGCTTGCGTTGCAAATTGCTTTCGCAAGCTTGCGCGTGGAAATTTAGAAACAGAATGCCAGAAAACGGAAAAGGAGCATTGAATTTAGGCTGCGCAAGACAACTTGCCAAATAGTATTTGATTCTGTTCTTTTGTTCCCAGAATCAGTTTGGGAACAGAAATGCGTTTGTTTAATTTTTTGATTATGAGCACAATTTTGTCAAAAATTGTTCCCAGAATCAGTTTTTAAGAATAAAAAAAAAGTAGCTTCTTGATTCTGGGAACAATTTTGAGAATCAATTTTTTTTTTCTTCCTTTTCTTGATTTTTATTGTAGCTTCTAATGTCCGGCCCGAGGACCGCCCTCGCCGGATCTAACGAGAATAAAATATTTTAATAAAAAATATTATTAAAATAAAAAATATTTTGCCGGCCATGGCCGGCGACCAGGCCATGGCCAAAAAAAAGAAAAAAATATATTTTTAATAAAAATATTTTAATAAAAAATATTATTAAATAAAAAAAATATTTTACTTGACATGGCCGGTGACCAGGCCATAGCAAAAAAAGAAAAAATATATATTTTTAATAAAAATATTTTAATAAAAAAAATATTTTACCAGCCATGGCCGGCGACCAGGCCATGGCAAAAAAAATAAAAATATTTATTTTTAATAAAAATATTTTAATAAAAAAAATATTTTACCGGTCATGGCCAGCGACCAGGCCATGGCCAAAAAAAAGAAAAAATACTTTTAATAAAAATATTATTAATAAAAAAATATTTTACCGGTCATGGCCGGCGAACAATCCATGGCCAAGAAGGAGGAAAAGAAAAAAAGAAAAGAAAAAAAAGAAAGAAATATTAAAATATTTAAAAATATTATTAATAAAAAGAAATTTTGTGGCGTTACCAAACGCATTTCTGTTCTTTTTCTATTCCAGGGATGGAATTTTGGGCCGTTAACAAACGTCTTAAAATGCTCATAATCAATTTTGGGCACAGAATAAAAAAAAATCATTTCTGAGAAGAATCTGTTCCCGGGTACAGAATCGTTGTCATGTGCAGCCTCACTTGTTGCAATTTCCTAGGTCATGACAAGATTTTGAGTTTGTCAAACGGCAATATGTTCCCTAAATATGAGAAGTATTACAGGTCTCATTGTATTTTGGAGCGGACATCACATGTTCTGTTACATGTAGTGTTGTTTGCACTAGCAATTATTGTAATCTGATCTCTATTGCAATCGAAGTATTGATAGCTATTGCATAGGCGCGGTGTTACAGTCGACATTTAATCGTAAACATTTAATCGTAAAGGTGCTTCCCTTTCCAGCTCTCCCATAATCATCTACCAATTACCATGTATTATTAACAGTCATCAATATTCTGAGATTGCCTTTTTTCTCGACTCCACCTGTTTCTTCTGTTTCGCACGCAATGTGCATGCATCATTTCTAGTACTTCATTATCTTCCACGTGTATGTCGATTTCACTTTAGGGCTTCACGACATAAGTTTATCCGAAACAAATAGGACTTAAAGAGTTCAAGTCACAACATGTAAGGTTGCACATGGCAATCATTCTATGTTTGAAAACAGATTATGCTCAGAAATGATTCTTTTTTATTCTGTGCCCGAAAACAATTTCTAAGCATTTGAAAGCATTTAGGGCCCGTTTGGTAACGTGCCAAACAGTGAAAATTTCTGTTTTTTTGTTCTCAGAAATAGTTTGGGAACAGAAATGCGTTTGGTAAACTTTTTGTTTCCGGGCACATTTTTGCAAAAATTTGTGCCCAGAAACAGTTTTGGAAGAGAAACAAGAAGTAAAAAAAAGTTGCTTCTTGTTTCTCGACACAATTTTGAGAATGAGTTCTTTTTCTTCTTTTTCTTTTTTTTCTTTTCTTCTTTGTGTTGTTCTTCCCTCGGTTGTGGCCGGTCGCCGGCCGCCGGCTGGCCGCCGGCGACCGACCATAGCCCAGGGCCGACGAGGGCGTCACGGCCCTCGCCGACGGAGGCGAGGGTGAGGGCTGGACCCTCGCCGCCTGGGCGAGGCGGCTCGCCGGCGCCGGCAACTGGCCATGGCCAAAGAAGGGAAGGGTAGAAAGAAAAAAAAAAGAAAAAAAATATTAAACAATTTAAAATATTATTAATAAAAAGAAATTTTGTGTAGTTACCAAACGTATTTCTGTTCTTTTCTATCCCAGGAATAGAAATTTTGGACAGTTACCAAACGCCTTTAAATGCTCAGAAATTGTTTCCGGGAACAGAATAAAAAAGAAACATTTCTGAGTAGAAATAGTTCCCGGGCATAGAATGATTGTCATGCGCACCCTTAGTAACTGCCTAAAATTTCTTGGGAAAATACCACCAATAATCTTAAACTATGCCACTTGTGATAAATTTACCCTGAACTTTTTTTGTAGCACGAAAAATCCCAAATTATACCACTTATGATAAATTTACCCTGAACTTTTTTTTGTGACATGAAAAATCCCAAATTATGTCACTTGTGACACATTTACCCCACAATACTTTGGCCCATGGACGGCGGAGGGAAGAGAGAAGAAAAAAAAAAGGAAAAAAAAAGGAAAAAGACGAAAATGCCCATGGGCCAAAGTATTATGGGGTAAATGTGTCACAAGTGGCATAGTTTTGAGTTTTTCGTGTCACAAAAAAATTCAAGGTAAATTTATCACAAGTGACATAGTTTGAGATTTTTCGTGTCACAAAGAAAAGTTCAGGGTAAATTTATCACAAGTGGCATAGTTTGGGATTTTTTATGGTATTTTCCCAAATTTCTATTCTTAGAATAGAAAAAGAACATAAATGCGTTTAGTAACTACCCAAAATTTCATTTTATTAATAATATTTTATTTTTTTAATATTCTTTCTTTTTTTTATTTTTTCTTTCTTTCCCATCCCTTCCTTGGCCATGGCCGATCGCTGGCGACGGCGAGGTCGGCCTCGCCTTGGCTGGGCGAGGCCTCACCGTCGCGGCCGCGAGCCGCCCTCGCCGACCACCAGTGAGGACCGCGACGCCCTTGCTTGCCCTGGCCTTTGGCTGGTCGCCGGCGACCGGTGGCAGGCGACGGGCGGCAGGCCGAAGAACAACAACAAACCAAAAAAAAAGAAGAAAATCAAGAAGAATCAAAAATGAAAAAATTGTTCCAGATCAAAAAACTACTTTATTTTGCTTCTTGATTCTATTCCAAAACTGATTCTAAGAATAATTTTTTGCAAAATTGTGTCCGGGCATAAAAAATTTAACATACGGATTTATATTCCCAAATTGATTCTGAAAATAAAAGAATAGAAATTTTTATTATTTGGCAAATTATCAAACGGGCCCTAAGTGTAATGCTTAAAAGAATGAGGTTTTCACTTTGTTGTCCATAGAACTTCCTTATTTTTCTGTAGTTAGCGTCTTTAAATCCTTTGCATCTTCATTCTTGCACATGTTCTAACTTTCGGAGGATGAAGGAAACGTGGGCTCTTCATGGGCTAGCCCAAAAACAGGCAAGCTTTGTCAGTGAATCATAAGGCCCCGTAAATGCAATATTTATGCTTTCTTTCATTTTCTTTTCAAAAGAAGCTACAAGAAATCTCAAACTATGCCCATTATGATATATTTATCCCAAATTTTTTCTGTGACACCAAGAATCCCGAACTTGTACCCGTGTGACACATTTACTTCAGTCAAAATTCCGCTATTGAACGCTGCTAAAATTCTTTTGTGGCTGCTTATATAGATGACAGGAAAAAGACCGGTGCTAATATGGCGTTCACATGATAAAAATATGACAACTCATTGCATGTTTTTTTCCTTGTTTTCTTTTTCCTTTTTTTGTAACTTCATCCTTCATTTTCTTCCTTGGTTTGGCGATGGTGAGGATGGTGGCGATGGTGATGGTAAGGGGGACGGAAGCAAAGACAAAGGAGGAAGGAAAAAATGAAAAAAGGAAAAAAAAGTGTTGAAGAGGGTGTGCAAGTTTGGGAATTTGGGTGTCATAAAAAAAATTTGTGTAAATGTATCGCATAAATATAAATTAGGGATATTTTGTGTTACAAAAAAAGTTGGGTTAATACCACGAAAAACTTCAAACCGGTACACTTGTGATAAATTTACCCCAAACTAATTTGTTGATCACCAATAATCCAAAACTTGTACACTTGTGACAATTTTACCCTTAGTTTCTATTAAATTTTACCCTCAAATTTCTAAGTTGAATGACACGTGACAGTTTACGGATGTACTAGTTTAGGATTTTACTCTCCATTCGTTACAGGTGTACTAATTTGTGATTTTTCATGGTGTTCATCCAATTTAACAAAGAATAAATTTGTCACAAATGTACCAGTTTGGAGTTTTTTGTGTTAAAAAAATTAGTTTAGGATAAATTTATTACAGGTGTACTAGTTTGAAATTTTTTTTTTGTCAAAAAATTAGTTTAGGGTAAATTTGTCACAGGTGTACCAGTTTAGGATTTTTCGTGATATTAACCCAGAAAAGTTTAAATTAAATGTGTCACACGAGTACAAGTTTAGGATAAATATATCACATGAGTACAAAATTGAGGTTTTTGTTGTCACAAAGAAAAATTAGGATAAATATGTTACAATAGGTATAACTTGGGATTTTTGGTGGCTTTTACCTTCTTTTTTCTCCCTTCAATTCTCCTATTAAATCAACATAAGCAATCATATAATTACTATTTGATATATATAATTTGTCGTTAAGCTGAATAAACAGAGGTGCGTGATTTTTCATACACAATAATCATCCCATTGGAAGATTTGTCTATACGACTCCATCATAAAACTTTTGTGTTTCTTTCTTTAATGAGTGCTTAAAATTAAATTTGAAAATGTTAATATAGATAACTCAATTGAAATTTGGGTACTATTCAATATTCATGAAAACTAGTTACTTTTTAAGGATTATGCCCCCCCCCCCCCTCAAAAGACCTAATCTCATTCATCCTTGCTTTCAAAACCACTATTAAGAGTGTGTTTATTCGCGAAAAATTAAATGATTGCTTTATTATAATGAATGAACAATTTCATTTTCATGAGAATATTTAGACATAAATTGTTATTAATGATAACAATATTTTTCATTGATAAATTATTTCAAACAATATAAGTGATTATCTTTAAGAAAATTTTTAAAATCATTCATTTTCACAAAATAGACGGAACCTTAATTTAATCTTGGATTTTCTATCTCCATTATGCATTGTGAGTGGATTCAAATCAATCGGTAACTTAGTGATTGACATGAGCAGTGAGAAGTTCTTTTCTTTCCCTCTCTCTCCATCATCTTCTTCAAGCTTCAGGCAGAGGGAGGGTACGGTAGGGAGGGTAAAGAGGGTTTGAGCTAGTTTCATCCTCTCCTTCCATTGAATTTGTTGGATTCTTTTTGTTTTTTTCTTGTTTATTCTTCTCTCCCGATCTAGATTTGAGAGCTCTCTTCTCCCAATCTAATTCTAGATTTGATCCTAATTTAGTTATAGATTTGGGAGCTTTTCTCTCCCGATTTAAATCTGGAAGTTTAATAATATTTTCGAGAGATTCAATATCTCGTACTCTGTCCGTATACAGGTCTTTTGCCTCCTCTTTCAATGATGATCACGGGAAATTTGGTATCTCACTAAACCACGAAAATTTACTGTTCCAAAAGTTGTATCTGTATTTTTTCAACCCATTTTGGTTGTCTCCGTATAGCGATGGTGTAGAGAAAGCCGAACCTAGACCAACACCGCCAACTAGCAACGCCATAGCTATTGGAGAAAGAATTTCCGACGTGTACTCATCATTGATGATGATATGAGATCTAGTGATTGACCATTAATTATTTTATTTGACAAATCCATTTTTATGGAATGAGTACGTGCTTAACCCTGTCGGTGCTCTGATGATCAACCTTGTTATAAGGATTTGGCTTTGTTTTGTTGTATTCTAGGTTTTGCTCTGCTTCGATTTGCTTTACCATGAAAGTCCATGTACACTACACATATCTTTTTGAGCAATAAATACAATTTTCTTTCGTTAACTATGTATTGTGATTCAAGTCATCCATATCCAAGAATTTTAGATTTCGAATACTTGTTTGTGGGGGGAAGAACAGCATTAGTGTCAAAAGTTATGTACGGAGCTCACTTTGGTGTCAAAAGTTTCATTTGGATCACTTAAGTGCCAAAAGTTTACGCCGACGATCACTTAAGTGCCAAATCGGAGAAAAAACGATTACTTAAGTGCCAACGGCGAGAAATTCCAATCAAATTTAATACGTGGCTTTTATATTTAAATTTTAATGACACGTGGCATTTCCATGTGTATAATACAATTTTTTAAATATTTTTTTCTGATTTTTTTTCTTTCTTTTCTTTTTTCTTTTTTCTTTTTTCTTTTCTTTTACTTCTACCATGGCCGGTGGCCGGAGGCCAGCCACCGGCCATGGCCAGCCTCTCCGAGCGTTGCCTTCCTCCGGGCGAGGGCCGGTGAGGCCGTCGTGGCCTCGGCGAGGGCCGGCCTTGCCGGATCTGGCGAGGCGAGCCCTCGTCGGGGCTCGCCCTGCCCAGGCGAGGGCTCGCCTCGCCAGATCCGTCGAGGCCGGCCCTCGCCAAGGCCACGGCCGAGGCCGGCCATGGCTGGTGGCCGGACGCCGGCCATCGGAAATAAGAAGAAAGAAAAGAAAAAAAAGAAAAGAAATGAGAAAAGAAAAAAAAAAAGAAAAGAAATGCCACATCAGCCCCCGGCGAGCCACATCAGCCTCCGGCGAGCCACATCAGCTTGAGAAATTAATAAAAAAAAATGCCACGTCGGATTTTCGGCGAAGTGGCACTTAAGTTATCGTTTTTCAAAATTTTTGGCACTTAAATGATCCAAATGAAACTTTTGGCACCAAAGTGAGCTCCGTACACAACTTTTGGCACCAATGCTGTTCTTCCCCCCTTGTTTGTGTTTTAATTTGGGTCGGAAGACTTACACGAGAGGTTCTAATACAATTATATTATAGAGCTTTTACACTTTCTAAAACTAAACTAGATTACTCTCATCTTATATCATTTCATTAATCAATTCAAATCTCATATTTTCCTTCTTGTACTAAATGTCAAAATACTTTTAGCATGGGATTTCCGTTAATTAACTATGTAATTCTCCATCACGTTAGCATTGAAATTGAATATTTGAACATTAACAAATTTTTGACGTTGTTGCGTGTTTGTTAGCTTATTATCTCTGATTAAAGAAATATATACTAGTAAGGGAAACTGCTCTAATATGATTGACTTAGTTCTTAATCTATATCAAAGATATGATGACGAGTCATGGAGGATCAAGTGGAGAGTATATTAAGCTAGGATCTTCTTTCCTATATCCGCACTAATTGATGACAAGTTTACTCAATAATTGAAGCTAGAGAAACAATGCCACTCCTGTTTACAAAACTAATTCAATGGATACCTTCCCCAAGAAAAAATTCCTCCCATATGTCGATCTAGTAAACGATAAGCTTTAACCAAAATGATGGCACAGGTAGTCCTTGTTGCTGAAGCAAGTGATCAAACAATAAAATAGTTAGTAAAATAAAATAAGTAGGACACTGAATTTATGTGGTTCGATCGATGTGACCTACAGCTATAGGGAGAGCACAAAAAAATTTTACTTATTGATCAAGCGATACAAATGAGATTACAATCACACTCGAGTCACTAAACACTCTTTAGTATTTCATATCCCCTAATTACACCCAATAACTCATATTTAGTCTCTACAAATCCTCACAAAATAATCTTTAATCTCATAAAAGAATTCACAAATCTTACCGCAAGATTTATTGGCTTCAAAACTCTTAGATATCTTCATGTGTAATTAACAAGAAGTTGTATCTTGGATACTCTTCAAAAAGAACATCCAATTCTTATATATAAGCAATAATTAGATCCAAAATATGAAACCTTCTCCAACTAGGAAATCTACTTGAATTAGGAAAGCTCCTCCTTCATGCTCAAACTCGAGAACATATTTTCAATAAGGAAGACTTACATGAGGGGTTCCTTTTACACTCTCGGCTTATATCATTTCATTAATCAATTCAAATCTTTTGTACTAAATGTCAAAATACTTTTAGCGCAGGATATCCGTCAATCAACTATGTAATCTCCATCATGTCAGCATTGCAATTGAATATTTAGACATTAACATGTTTATCTCTAATTAAAGAAATATCTACTAAGTACGGAAACTACTCAAGTATGATGGACTTAGTTCTTAATCTATATCAAAGCTGACGAGTCGTGGAGGATCAAGTGGAGAGAATATCTAATTTTAAATTCGTGTGGTTACAAGATGAAGCTAGTATCTGTTTTCTAACCTATATTGGCTATCAATCAAGCAATCGAATAATTGATGACAACTCTCCTCAATTATTGAAGCTGGAGAAACAATGCCCCTCTTGCTTACGAAACTAATTTAATGGATACCTTCCCCAAAAGTCAATTCCTCCCACATGTCGATCTAGTAAACGATAAGCTTTGATTAAAATGATGGCCACGCGGGTAGTGATGTTCAAATACTGTTAGGGTTGCATCTTGATCTCCATATAAAGGTCAAGCGAACTAGCCTTCTGTTCTTACAAGTGAAACGAGACAACCTTGGTCTTCGGTTCTTTTTTTTTTTTGGTCGAATTGGTCTTCGGTTCTTGAATTGTAGCTTTTACTGGGGTTTGGGTTTCTCTGTTGAGTGAATTTATTCGTTTCATCAGGAGAGAGACGACGGGTTTGGAGGGGAAGCTAGAGATTGAAGTAGAGATTCAGTCGTCGGCCGATGAGTTCTACAACGTCTGGAGGAACCAGGTTTACCACCTGCCGAATGCAAGCGATGCGGTACAAAACGTTCAGCTCCATGAAGGCGAATGGCACTCGGAGGACGCCGTCAAGCTCTGGAACTACACCCTGGGTGAGTACTGCATCGCCTCGCCATCGACTGAGTGACTTGTTATGTTTTTTTTTCTTCTGTTGGCGTCGTTGTTGTCATTAGCGCGTAGGTAAAAGTGCCAAAAAAGTCATAAACCTTTTGTATTAGTGCCAATTTAGTCATAAACCTTTTTTTGTGCCAATTCAGTCCTAAACCTTTTGCATTGGTGCCAATTTAGTCCTAAACCTTTTTTTGGTGTCAATTAAGTCCTAAACCTTTTAAATTGGTGCCAATTCAGTCCTAAACCTTTTGTTTTTGTGCCAATTTAGTCCTTCCGGCCAATTTTGACCGAAATTTGCCAACGTGGACGCCTGCCTGCCGGCGGCCGGCCACCGGCGCCGACGTGGCGGCGACGTGAAAAACTTTAGTAATATTTTAATATTTTTTTGAATTTTTATTTTTTTTCCTTTTTTTCCACTTTTTTTTTTTGTCTTCCCTCCTTCCTCTGACCAGTCGCCGGACTAGAGGCCAGAGGCCGGCGAGCTCGACCTCGCTAGATCCGGCGAGGTCGGGCCTCGTCGCGGCCTCCGGCGAGGGCTCGAGCCTCGCCATGGTCGGGCGAGGCCCGACCTCGCCGGATCCGGCGAGGTCGGCCGGGCAAGGCTCGACCTCGCCATATCCGGCGAGGTCGGGCCTCGCCCGACCATGGCGAGGCTCGCTCTCGCCGCGGCCTCCGGCGAGGGCTCGAGCCTCACCATGGTCGGGCGAGGCCCGACCTCCGGCGAGGGCTCGAGCCTCACCATGGTCGGGCGAGGCCCGACCTCCGGCGAGGTCGGGCCTCGCCCGACCAAGGCGAGGCTCGCCCGACCAAGGCGAGGCTCGCCCGACCAAGGCGAGGCTCGCCCTCGCCGGCGAGGCCGCCCTCGCCAGTGGCCGGCGAGGTCGAGCTCGCCGGCCTCTGGCGTCTGGCCGGTTGCCGGACCGGCGACCGGCCAGAGGAAGGAGGGAAGACCAAAAATAAAAAAGTGGAAAAAAAAGGAAAAAAAATAAAAATTCAAAAAAATATTAAAATATTACTAAAGTTTTCCACGTCGGCGCCGGTGACCGGCCGCTGGCCGGCATGCGTCCACGTCGGCAAATTCAGGTCAAAATTAGCTAGAAGGACTAAATTGGCACAAAAACAAAAGGTTTAGGACTGAATTGGCATCAATTTAAAAGGTTTAGGACTTAATTGTCACCAAAAAAAGGTTTAGGACTAAATTGGCACCAATACAAAAGGTTTAGGACTGAATTGGCACCAAAAAAAGGTTTAGGACTAAATTGGTACCAATACAAAAGGTTTAGGACTGAATTGACACCAAAAAAAGGTTTAGGACTAAATTGGCACTAATGCAAAAGGTTTAGGAATTTTTTGGCACTTTTCCCTTAGCGCGTACTATGTTATATTTTGATTTCACTGCCCGAGATTTCATCCACCAAACATGTGCACAAGGAGTCTAGTTTTGGATCATTTACCCTCAAAGTGCTCCATTTGAGCAAATGCTAATGTTATTAAGACTGATATCGTAGAATCGGTTTATGAAATGGTATGACAAACTGTAAGTGGTCAGCATTCGATAAAGAGGCCATAGCCAGGCACCCAACAAGAACTTATCACATGAGCCATAAAACAAGAGCTTGTCACGTCATGTTAACCCAATCTTAGCAAAAACTATCTCCCCCCTCCCCCCTTCCCCTAAGCACTCCTGTTCTTAAGGAGTAATAGTTCAATGAACTTATTACATAGGTTAAACTGAATCAAAACCATCACGTCTAATGGAACCCACCATCTTTAATGGGCTAGATTCAATTTAGTGGATGTACTAGATTCATGTAGAAATTTCTCTTTATTGAGAAATATGTCTATCTAGTAGATGTCCAATTTCAAGACTTGTATGTGTTAGGACTATAATAAGCTGCTTGTGAAAAGAATATTTTGTGAAGGTGTTTTCCTGAAAAATCTTTGCGGCTGAATATATTCTTAAAAAAGTGGAAAACATTGTTGTATTAGTAAATGGTTGTTACTCGACGAACTTTAATATGCAGAAGGGAAGGCATTGACGGCCAAGGAGAAGGTTGAGGTGGACGATGCAAACAAGGTACTCACCTTCAACGTAATAGAAGGCGATCTCATGGAAGAGTTCAAGACCTTCAAGGCTATAGTCAAGACGACTGCGAAAAGCGACGGCCGTGAAAGTTTAGTAAAGTGGACTCTAGACTACGAGAAGTTGAACGAAGACGTCGCCGACCCTAATGCTTACATAGATCTCGAAGCCACGCTCACTAAGGACACGGATGCTTATCTCATCAACAGAGCGTGAGCGATTCGCGTGTTCTTAGGGACAAATGATATCTCTGTGTGTCTTTTGTGCGTTTGTGTGTGGATATGTTCATGTGCTTGTCTTGCAGGGCCAAAGTAAACTTCTTGGTGTGGTTATTGGTGAATAAATATACGTCGAAAGACGCCATGTCTGTGTCATTGTCTGTGTTCCTATGTTTGTGTTCGAGAAAACTGTGTTCCATGTGAATTCTGTAAGACTTGTGAAATGGCTTCAAAATTGTTTGGCTCCTTCTTATTTAAAGTTGAATGCATTGTCAAGTGATTGCGGTTTAGAAATGCCAATTCTTTTTTCCGATTTCGATTAATTTCAATAAGTGTAGATAAGTGCAAAAATCCTGTAGATAAAAAAAATAACTGATTAATTTTTTCTGCAGGTAATTTGTTGGTAACTTACCGATACTTTAATGAGACTGTCGATTTTTCATAGTTTGTAAATCAGCAATTTATGTCCTAATCCACTAAGTTTTATTTCCGTAAAGAACTTCGACTATTAAGTGTTAACCCGCTGTAGCTTTTACCTTGGTGTTAATGTTGTTAATCCATAATCTGTAGATATCATTTCAAAGATCTGAGATTGACATTTCTAGTATTTAGTTAAACGATATGACGATGAGACGGGGACTAATCTTGTAATTCTAATCGTGCCCTAGACGTGATGGAATCCACTTTTGAAAACGTATGAAATTCGCAGTATATTTTCTATATAACTTTGAATTATATGAGAATTCACCTCGAATTGTTGATCTCGGATAAACATTTTTACTACTCTTGTTTACAATACTCAGGCGCCTGAACTTGTCCAAGAGGCGAGCTAGTTTCTCTTTTATTCTAGCATTATTCTTCTTTAATAAGTACTTCAAAAAAAATTACAGAAGAGGTCTATGTTCTCCATTTTAGTAATATATTGTCTAATTCTGAGTATCTCTCATATTTTTGTTTGTTCAAAGCCTTCTTGCTATCACCTCTATTAAGCGATAGCCTCTGTTCCAAATTGATGTTAAAAATGCTCTTCTCAATGGCGATCTTACTAAGGAAGTATATATGGAACCTCCTCCTGGATACACTACTTTTGACAAAGTGTGCCGATTACGTCGAGCATTATATGGACTGCAGCAGGCTCCTTGTGCGTAGTATTCTAAGTTCAGCTCTACCATGGAACGCCTTGGATTTAAATCGAGTCCCTATGACAATGCTCTATTTGTTTAACAAACATCTCGTGGGTATATTCTACTACTTTTATTTGTGGGTGATATGGTTATCACTGACAATGGTTATACTGGCGTTACAAAATTCCAGCAGTATCTCAGTCAATGGTTTGAAATGAAAGATCTCAGCAAACTCAATTATTTTCTAGGCTTGGAGGTTACTTCCTTTGGATATTATCTTTTTCAAGCTAAATATGCCACCAATCTTCTTTCTCGAGCGGGACTCACTGATAATAAGACTACTACGATTCCCATCGAGACTAATGCCAAATTTAATGACAAAGACGTGAATTTTCTTCTGAATCCTACTCTCTAACGACAACTAGTTGGCAATCTTGTATACCTCACTATGACTTGTCCTGATATAGCCTACGCAGTTCACATTATTAGTCAGTTCATGACCTCACCGTGAACCACTCATTATGCTGCTGTTCTTTGCATTCTTTGCTATGTCAAGGGCACCTTATTTCATGATCTTCACTTTTCTGCTCAATCTACCTTGGAGTTGATAGCTTAATCTGATGCTGACTGGGCTGGAAACCCTTTTGATTGTCGCTCCACCACCGGCCACTGCTTCTTTGTAGGTAACTCACTTTTCTCATGGCATAGTAAGAAACAAACTATTATTGCTCAATCTAATACACAAGCTAAATATCGTGCTCTTATTAATACGACAGTAGAATTATTATGGTTGCGATGGCTATTAGAGGACATGGGTGTCCATCAACGGTGGAACGATACTTTATTACTATAATCGGAGTGCTATCCGAATAGCACATAATGATTTTTTCCATGAGCGCACCAAATATATTGAGATAGATTGCCATTTTATAAGTTCTCGCGTGTTTCCAGGCACCATTCGTCTTGTCTCCACTTCATCGGTTAATCAAATTGCTAATGTATTCACTAAGGCACATCTACCAAGGTGATTTCAAGATCTTTTCTCCAAACTCCAGTTGACTTCTTCCATGTCATATTGAGTTTGAGGGGATCTTAAAAATATATCGTCTGATTCCGAGTATCTCTCAAATCATAATTTCATTATTATGATTCTAAGTATCTCTCATATCATAATCTCGTTATTCTGATTATGGGTATCTATCATAATCATAATCTTATTATTCATATTGATTGTAATTTCCATTGTAATAGTATGTTACTATAGATAGACATTCTGTCAAGCCTATAAATAGGCTCTTCTATAGTTTAATGAAATACACAGAAAATTGTGCAACTTTATTTCCTACCCTACATTTTTTCACTCCAACTTTATCTTGAACCAGCATAACTGTACTCTGCGCCAAAAAATACGGATTTTTTTTTGTGTTGATAAATTTTGATTAGTGCTGATAAATGACCGGTGACATTTTTTCAAGAAATTTGCTGGTAAATTACAATAATTTTTTTTGTTGTTTGCAAATTACCAATTTTTATACTAACTTACCAGCTTTGTTTGTATAACTTGCTACCACTTTGAGTATAGTAACTCTTATATGAAATTATCAACCTAAATTAGATTGGCTTGCCACTTTTTGTCAAAATAATTATCAAATAAATTTTGGTTATTAACTCTTGTTTGAATTAGTAAGCAACTCGAATGGGAGTTGGTAAACCAAAATCAATTGGCAACCTAACAAGAGAAAAGCTGGTGAGACTCACAAATAAAGGTTAGTGGATGCATATAAGAGTTGATAGATTTAAGCGTTTGTGAAAAAAACAAACGAAAGCTGGTAAAGATGACGAAAGTTGATAAATTAAAAGAAAATAAACATTGATAATATTTATGTTTATAACCTATTAATCAAAAGACTAATTGGAGGAAGTTCCCTCCAATCAACAAAAACAAGAAGAAAAAGATGTCCCTTTGTCATGCACTCATATTACATAAATGTTGTCACTTTGGTTAGGTTGACCGAGCTCATATTACTAAAGGTTTCCTCCACCAAGTATCTATTTAACGACTTACAAATCTGGACATCAGCTACATGTAAATGTATGGGAAAGTTCAATACTGGAACTGCCCTTCTCCGGCCGGAAGACGGTAACTCGGATACCAACAAGGAGATGAATTGGTCTTATAAAAAATTGTCATAGAAGACTTCAAAATACAATAGGTTGTAGATCTTAGCAGGTATTGTTTTTACTTGGAGCTTAGTAGATAACTCCACAAACAGCAAGCACCTCCATTAGTATAAACTCTTTGCTTCCATATTAAAATACACATAACCCTTATAGAGTATATGAATCGAAATACAAGCAGTATATCACAGTTCGGAGAACGAGAGTATCCAAAGACAGAGGGAATAGAAGTTTCAGATTTTCGCCTCCTTCGTCAGCTATCCTTGAACCCATTAAATAATCTTCCAAGCTTTTTCCTGACAGCTGAAAGTCTTCTCTAGGTCGAAGGATCTATTGAACATACACTTCCTGGTAGACCAACAAACTACATGTTCACGGTCAGACTAAGAGGCTTCTGCTTCAGCAGACTATTTGACTCTTTCTGGGTGATTGCACAAAAGAGGAAAAGACTGCTCTGATTTTTCTCTAGGATGCTTTCTACGGATTAAGACCTTAATACAGGCTATTACAACCTAATTTGAATTCAGATCAAATTAGAATAAGATCTAGTTCTGTAGAAGCACTACAAAATATAATAAGAATTGCTGCTTTTAGCAGATCAATTTTCTGTTTAGCGCCTTTCGAAAAATGATGGGTAAGATTCTAGACAACCGCCACCACCTGCGAATCAAATATCCCGCATCTGCTGATTGATTAACATCTCGCCTCATCTGTATTTATCTATATCTTCTCCCCCTATCTGTTTCTACCTATGTATAAGTTTCTATCTCTTCTCCAACACAGTTGCATATTTTTCTCTCTTTTTGTCATAATCAAAAGCAATAGAAATAATAAAGACAGGAAAACACTGAACATCAAAAGAATTCATTCACTTCATCCGGTCAGTCCAGAGGAACACAAGAACAGTTCATAACAAGAAGAAACGAGGGGTCATTAAACTTAACAACATTCAAATCTTTTTTCGTCTTCTTCTCCTTCTGAGAAGGAATGGTCGATTTCAAGGTTTAAGAGCGATCAAGATAAAGGTTATCAAGGTTGAAGCAGGACGACGATCGAATCATTTTCTCTACCTTGTTAATTTCGTTTTTTAGCTCCTGGATTGCGCTCATAACCTGACGATTGGTAGATTCACCCTTCTCAGCTTCATTCTTCTCACTAGGCTCCCCCTGAGCCTTTGCCTTCTTCTCAGGAGCCTGAGAGAAATTAATGTTTTGCTCTTTTTCTCTATCGTCATCTTTCTTTCCTTCGCCTTGAGGCCTCTCATCGTCACTATCTCTGATTGGCTCTTTTTCTCGCTCAGGAGGCAGAGCATCAGACCTCTCTGGTTCTTCTTCGATTAACTTTCCTTTGCCCTTCTTCCTTCGGGCTTCTTCTTCCTTTTCCTTCTCAGAGCGCAGGCTTTGCTCTGGTTCTGGTTCTGGTTCTGGTTGAGCAGGTTCAGAGACTGGAGTTTCCGGATGGTTTTCACCTCGAGGCCACATATCATCACTATCTCTGATTGGCTCTTTTTCTCGCTCAGGAGGCCGAGCACCAGAACTCTCTAGTTCTTCTTCGATTAACTTTCCTTTGCCCTTCTTCCTCCGGGCTTCTTCTTCCTTTTCCTACTCAGTTCGCAGGCTCTGGTTCTGGTTCTGGTTCTGGTTCTGGTTGAGCAGGTTTAGGAGTTTCTTGATGATTTTCACCGTTCCGGGGTATGACAAAGTAGTCTACAATTCTTACACTTTCTACTGGGTCTTTTGAAGGATCTTTGGAACTGCACTTACTAGGAGACTTCCTAAGGTGGCTTCTCCTCTCTGGCTCATTTTGTTCCTCCCGCGAACGACGATCCGTATGCCAGTTTTTTGGAACCTGCATTACAAGGTGAAAGAATAAGAACACCTCACAATAAGCTCAACATTTGGTATGCAATGATAGGTCCCTATTGTTGGCAACAGTTACACAAATTGAGAGGGAAAGC